TAACGTGGGATGAAAGATTATGTAAAAAAAAATTAGATAAGAAAACTTTATAACATGTTATATTCATATATAAACGATAGTTAAACTGTAAAAAAAGTAAATATACATTTTATTCATAAGTGAATAACGAATGTATTGTAATAAAAACCTGATGCGTTTTTATTCACTTATGAATAACGATAGTTGAAACTCTAAAAAAATAAATTTTTTATTTTATCTCAAAACTATATCAACATGGATGTCTATTTATAGAAAATAAAAAATTATGAATTTAGAAATAAATTTTCGATAAAAATAACATTCTAAAAGTAAAAAAACAAAAGAAAAAACATGTTTTTGTGTATATTTAGATAATGATTAGCATACTTTAAGAAAACATGTTTGGTTGAAAAACACATGTATTTCTGTTACCCATTCTGCTAATACGTCTAAGTTTTTTGCGGAAAAATAAATGTATAACTGAAAATGATTTATTCATTCTCAACTTTTTTTTTCTCAATTGAACCCTCTCTCTCTCTCTCTCTCTCTCTCTTTCTATATATATATATATATATATATATATATATATATATATATATATATATATATATATATATATATATAAAACATACTTAATCATATATGAATATACATATGTATTGATATATATAATTATACTTATTTATATATGAATATTAGTCATCGTCAATAACACCTCTATCGGTACTATCGCTACGCTTAAGGGTTTTGCGGCAAAAAGAAATATGTGGTCCAGATTTATTTATGCGTTCTCAATTATATAACTATATATATGTCCGCTTAAAATGATAGAATTCACGTCTACATCCAATCTAGCACCTGGTTCTTGGTACACATTTCTTTTTATTTTTATCTATGTATTTTGCATTTTTTGCCTTGGACTCGGCGAGTTGGAGGACCAACTCGCCGAGTAGAAGCAGAATGAGACAAGGGGTTTAAGTCGTGGACTTGACGAGTCGGGTCCCGGACTCGGCTAATAGATGTTGTTTGGACTAAAACCCTAATCCAAGGGTTTGCACCCTATTTAAACAATGTTATGTCGAACAAAATGTCCCTTATGCTCCCAAAACACCTCTCATTGAAACCCTAGCCGTTATTGAAGCAATCTAAGCCTTGTTGGTGGATTTTGGTACTTGTGGTCTTAAGAAGGAAGGAGAAAAGCTTGAGGAAGCAAGTAGAGACCAAGGGAACCCGAGTTTGTGCACCTTCTATGGCTCATTGAAGGTAAAAAGCTATAACCTTGCTCATTCATTTGTTAGATTCCTCTTTGGGGAGATTTAGGGCTTTTATAAGCCATTTTTTTGGTGGCCAACCATGTTTGCAAACATGGTTGGGGATTAAAGCTTCTGAATCACATCATCAAAAGAGTCACTAGGCAGATTTGGGTTGCTTTTGCACCCATGAAAGGACCCATGCATTATAAGAGCTTGTTTTATGCCTTTTTGAGCTCAAAGTCCCATGCAAGCATGTAAAGTTTGTAACTTTACGTGCTAGATCGGTTGTAGAAGCTTGGATCTATCTTTTGATTAAAGGTTGTACATCAGAAATCAAGGATTTAGAGTGTGGATGTGACCGACTCGGCGAGTCCGTTCTTGGACTCGACGAGTCCGAGGCTTTGAGCCCCATATCTGTTGAGGGTCAAAGGAACCCAGTTGAGTGTTAGAAGGGTTGTAACCGAGCATAAAGAGTTACCCAATGAATTGGGTGTGATTTTAGACCTGGAGTTCAGAGGACTCGACGAGTGCTAGAACAGACTCGGCGAGTCCAAGGCAATCTTCTTAAGGATGAAGATGAACTCGATGAGTTGTTCATTAACCCGGCGAGTCGAGGACAGAACTTGTTCATCAGATGAAGGTGAACTTGACGAGTTGTTCATCAACTCAGCTAGTTGGATGAGTTTCATGCGATGTTCATATGAGAGAGGAACTCGTCGAGTTGACGACCCAACTCGACGAGTCGGTTCATGGATGAAGACGAGTAAAGGGTGAGGGACTCGGCGAGTCAGGTCAACTTGAAGTTGACTTTGACTAGACTTGGACTGAACCTGTTTAGGGTTGTACTTGCTGTGTGTTGACTTGAAGGTTGTCGTGTAGGGATCGAGGAGTCGAAGGGAGTCGACTTGTGCACTGAGGATAATTCAAATACTGCATGACATTGAGGTGAGTTACCTTCCAGTAGGGGTGGCTCTAAGGCTACAATGTAGGCCCACCAAAAAGGGGTATTTAGAAGATAATGGTCTTTGTGATAATTATCTTGGTCTGGTTATGTGTTGGTTATGAGATTTAACTGGATGATATGTTATGTGTATATTAGGGATTAGTTTCCCTAACAGTGGTCCTTAGAACCCAAGGGTTGGTCAGTACCCGGATATGCCTGACTGTATGTTTATATTTGTTGATTGTATGCTAGTGGTAGGGGGTGAGATAGTCCCCAGTTACTGGTTGAAAGATACCAATGACGGATACCGGTTGAAAGATACCGATGTTGATTACCGGTTGAAAGATACCGATGATGGTTACTGGTTGAAAGATACCGACGAAGGTTACAAGTTGAAAGATACCGATGAAGGTTACCGGTTGAAAGATACCGACGATATTGTATGGTATGTGGTATGATGGGGGAACTCACTAAGCTTTGTGCTTACAGTTTTGGATTTGGCTTCAGGTACCTCTTCGTCGAAGGGGAAGGAGTCGGCGGTGTAGTAGCGCATCACACACACGCACTCATGGTTTCTGCAAGGAGTTTTTGGGACTGTACTATGATTTTCATTACTTTTGACATTATGTTTTGGAACACAACAATATGATTTTGTGACGTGTTGTTTATTTGTTAATATTTTGGTAAAAATGTTTATGGAATTTTTAACTCAAAAATGAAAATTTCGGGCTTGAATTTCAGGAAGTTACATCCAAACTCATATTTTAATTATGATTAAACCAATTTAATATTTACAAACTAATCTAAAATACAAAATATTATAAGATATTACTAAACTATCATTTCCAAATAAAAAATTAGAATTAAACCAATTTAATTTGGATTATCTCATACAACGCTTCTCCTCGCTTGCATTGAGATACATAGAGTAGACAATACATTCAAAAAAACATAGAGGATATGATAATTGATAAATCACTTGATTGGAAGTGGGTTTTCCAATCAAAGATATATGGGTTGCTTAATTTTGTTATATGAATGTGTGTATTTATCATCACAATTTGTCATTTTGATTGTAAATAAGCGAGTGAATTACTTTATCAATTTAACAAACAAAAATGATTTGAAGGGGTCATATTGTTGCTCTACTCTTGGATACACATGTATGTAAAGATCAAAACACAAAAAGGAACTGTTAGAATAGTAATATTATACCGAGAATTATTGAGTTGCGCTTTTTGATGACATGGTTCGACAAAATTACATCAGAAACAACAATGTTATTGGCGACAATTCAAACCCATACAAGGTAAATTTGTAACTAAAGTTGACGGAATCAGTTTTGGGGCTAAAGAATTGTTGTTGATGGTCATGTTGGAAACACTAAGACATTGGACATGGAGTTAATCAATGACATGTTGTACGTTCAATCAGGGGCATTTGATGGTGATAAGAGTGAAGAAACAGGTGGTTTGGTAGAGTTCTATGTGACATGTGTTTAATGATGACTAAGAACATGTTATTATCTCTTCCTATCAATTGATTTATCATCTCTTCCATGTCTTCCTAAATTAGTTGTCCACTCTATTAGTCTCGATAGAAGTTTGTCAGTATTATCATACTTTGAATTTCGGAACCTTAAATAAAGGAAGAAGAAACAGCAAAAAGATAATCATAGCCCATTGAAACTCACATTTCTTGACTTATATAAAGTGGAATCACAAAAGAGATGCAAGATTTTTGATAGAATATATGATGGTGGGTTTTCGTGGTCTTAGTTTAGTCAACCTCAACCAAAACAACTTAACTAACTAACGCATATCATTGAGTCCATTCGTCTAAACTCAAACAGAGACTCGTTGACTTGTAGGTTAGATCTAAATGGGTACTTCACTTTTGTAGCATGTAAATGTCGAATGGATTCCCATCAAAGCGATTCGGATGGTTGCTCTTTCATGTGGCTTAATGAAGTGCTTATAAAGGTTTCTTGCTTCGTATGCCATGTAAATCAAAACCATATCCCCTCTGCATTGGCTCTCAAAAATCGGGGAGTCAACATAGCTTATGTTATCTGTGGGGAATGCAACATTGATGAGGAGTTTGCTGATCATTTGTTGTGTGAGTGCTCATTTGTTAAAGTCACTTGGGAATGGGTTTTTAGATGGTGCGGTATATCGATACCTCTTTTCGATAAGACGAGTTAGGTGCTGCAGTTTGCGGT